AAAAGAAATCTACGTCTTTTAGTCTCAGAACTGCGTCTTGTGATCTTTCTTTTATGTATTGCGTTATGACGCTTTGTGAAATATCTGTACGTGATGGAATTAGTGTAATGAAATTACTTAGAACATGTAAACATTTCAAGACAATAAAACCACCGCAGGCCTGTGTTAACAATAAAACTTCGCAGGCCTGTGTAATCAGTTAATTGTAATTGGTTTTCTTTCGTTTCACGCTGGTGACTAAAAGTAATGTAAATATATGTTTAAATCCAAAAATGGGAGATACGATAAACACATTGATGAACCAATTCTTTTTCCTGTGGGTGACCTTATGTTTGTAAATCACGCGTCGCGATCATTTCCCAGCTTGCTAAACCTAACCTTATAAGCAAGCTAATGGGACTGCGGTAACTTCCTCTCCGTACAATTTCCAACTGATGTTCGTCGTGTGGGAAACAAACAGCTCAATTTCTCGGTTCATCTAACTTTGGTTAATTCATTCAGATACTCGGCTAGTCATAACGTTCATTTTTGTTGTTGATCTACCTTTTACACGCACATTGTTATAAGACCATAGGCGGCGCAACTGTCCCAATTTTTGCCCAGTAGCAAAGTGCCCCTTTTAATGGGCAATAGAGAACTGTGTATAACTGTCATGTAAAATCGCTGTTCCAGCTTTGAATGCTATGGTTACGATTAATACATCAGGTAAGGTGTCCCCATAATACATCAGGTAAGGTGTCCCCATAATACATCAGTTAAGGTGTCCCCATAATACATCAGTTAAGGTGTCCCCATAATACATCAGGTAAGGTGTCCCCATAATACATCAGGTAAGGTGTCCCCATAATACATCAGGTAAGGTGTCCCCAGTCGTCGGTACACCCCCTTCCTCAAATCAAATATGTTTCATCACATAAGGCTAACTATAAGATAGTTGTTTGTAAAAGCGCAAACATCACAGATATCCGGTCTAAAACCATTTGTACAAACAAACATAGGTTTACCTCCTCACATACGGACGAAACTCATGAACTATTTAGAAAGCAACTTGTGTATTTTACCTTTGTTTCCTTAAGTCTACTGATCCCCTTGAAGCTGTTTTACCCTTCAATTACCCACCTGAATGTTCAGGGCTTATAGCACTGAAATTCAGCGTTCGATCCTTGTGGGGGGGGCACAGATAGCCTAATGTGCAACATTGAGCTTAACGACATATTATAAATTTTCAGAAGCCCAGTCTATTATATTCCCTATCGAATTTGTAGTTTATTATCTTCTGGTTGATTACGTTGGATTTCTAATATATTGTTGTAGGATTTTCTCTTGTCTTCAACATAACAACGTAACATCTTATATACATCATAACAACGTAACATCTTATATATATATCATAACAACGTAACATCTTATATTCATCAGAACAACATAACATCTTATATACACCAGGTGATGTATATAAGATGTTACGTTGTTGAACAATGTAACATCTTATATACATCATAACAATGTAACATCTTATATTCATCAGAACAACGTAACATCTTATATACATCATCGCCGAAATTCGCTTTTTTCTACTTCATTGCAGCTAAAGGTTCTGCTTGTGTATGTTGTGGCTTTTTCACGTACTTCGGATACACAACTCAAATAAGTCATCGAATAGATTACTAAAAAAATTATTCTTCCCAAATTAAAACGTCACGTGTACTTACAATCATGCTGGACGTAACGTAAGCGGTCAATACTATGACCAAACTGGTGATGATGGCTAAAGGAATTGACCGTTTTGGGTTTTTTGCCTCCTCTCCTGTAGTTGCAATGATATCAAACCCGATAAAGGCGTAGAAACAAGTAGCCGCACCAGACAACACCTGGAATGATTAATTGATCAGCGATGCAAATAGTTGCGTAGTCGTATACACAATAATTCCTAAAGTATTATAATTAAAACTCCAGTCAAAGATATCGCTTAATCAGATGAAAAAAGTTTTACTATTACTTAACTCGTAAGATCACAGAATCTCAGGATTTGTCTATAAAAACTTAAATTTTATTTCAATAATAAATATCAAAATTTTTCCTTTCGTACGATAGATAGCAGCACAATATTTAAAATACTATTAAATATATCTTTTTTGTTGTTGTTTATTGCTGATCATGCCAAAAAAAGAAAAGATCCATCTATCTATATAAAGAAATTTAGCGTTCAAGAAGCAATCACGTGACTCCTACCAACAGTAACTTTCTTAGATGCACACCAGTGCAATTACGTGACTCCCACCAACAATAACTTTCTTAGATGTACACCAGTACAATCACGTGACTGCTACTAGAAACGAGAGTAAACCACGTGATTACTATCAGGAATGACACATCTTAAGGCAGAAAGTAGAATAACTTGGTTACAATTAGGAATGGCATTCTCACAAGTAAAACAAAACAGTTACTAATTACTTACCACCAAGTGTTCCTTTTTTTTTACAAGCAAACATTTTCAGTCACGTGATTGTTACCGGAAACAACTTCCTTAAAATTTAAAGTAATTTAATTATGATCACAGCCATACAAACATCTTATCAAGAAGCTAGAGAAACATTGATTATTAATTTACTTATTTTGTCACAACTTTGTAGTTAATGTCAAACTTAGATCTATTTTATTTGCCACTTAGATAAAAATGGATGGTAGTTTTTGTATTTTGCGTATGTAAGTAAATTACAACGTTTCGACAAGGTTTTTGCCATCATCAGGTACATTTGCTGTTATGTTAAACTTATATTAAAGTTTTTCTTCATTACCCATTCAAGCCCCCCCCCCCCCAAGAATAATGAAACTTTTAACTTACGCTGGTTTTCTGTTCTAGATCACACTCCGGACGTGATGGCGGCCATTATAACTCTTCTGATGACAGCAGTTCTAGTGGCGGGGGTTAAAAAATCACTTCTATTCAATAATATCTTGAACGCCTTAAACCTCTCAGTGTGGGTTTTCATAATGGGTGCGGGGAGTTTCTACATCGACACAGATAACTGGACCGAACATGGGGGATTTTTACCATATGGTTGGACAGGGGTGAGTTTTGTGCTTATCTTTATTGTAACCGTTATCTCATTTTATACCTTTTTTTAGTTCATTAATACCCATAAACATCGACGTTATAAAAATATATGTATTTACCAAATTGACGTGAAACGATGGATGTTGAAATTGTAATACTGGATAATTAATTTAGGTCCTGCAATTACGTGACTCCTACCAACACTGACTTTCTTAGACTCACACCAGTACTGGTGTGCACCTAAGAAAGTCGCTGTTGGTAGGAGTCACGTGATTGTATTGGTGTGCGTCTAAGAAAGTCACTGTTGGTAGGAGTCACGTGATTGTACTGGTGTGAGTCTAAGAAGGTCACTGTTGGTAGGAGTCACGTAATTGCACTAGTGTGCATCTAAGAAAGTCACTGTTGGTAGGAGTCACGTAATTGTACTGGCTTGCTCATGAACAATTCCGGTCGCAGTACAACAGTTATAATGAAATGTGAATTACAAGAGGCTTAGCTAAATTGCTATCATTTAGCAGTCGTATTTTGCTCGATTAGGTCGAGGGAGAGTACCAACTTAAGATAAGTTAAAGAAACGTAACTTACTCAACTCTTTGAAAACACAGAGTTTTCCATTCTATAGTTTGAACATTTCCAGATGAATGATGAACTTCAAGGAAAAAATACTTTCTAAAAAGTTTTACATGACTGCGTTTATACGATAAGTATTGAAAGTATCATTGATTAGCACCCTATGAAAATATCATGTTTTGCAAAGTTAAATTAAGTTTATCTTCGTAAGAGCTTTACGTATTACACATTAAGTACTACACATTCACTAATTTAAGTTATGAATAAAATAACACGATTTTACTAAAGCTGAGTACATTTTGAATGCCATTTGGAATAAGCTTTGTAATTAATTGTTACCCAAAATTGTTCCCAATTTTTTTCGAATGACGTCACTAACAGCACCACCACACAAGGCGTTTATACATGCACTAATTGCGCATGCTCCAGCAGCTGTTCCAATCAGATATTCTAATATCATGTTCCAACCAATGACGAAGGCGATGAATTCTCCAACGGTGACGTAGCTATACATATAGGCTGAGCCCGTAGTATGAGGGACTCGAACACCAAACTCGGCATAACACACGCCTAAGAAGAAATAAGCCATGTAAAAACTCATACCAAATTTTTTGTATCGTAATCTTAATCATTCATGTTCTTTTCTTAAAAAAGTCATTCATTTGAAATAGTTATATGTATGTGCTTTAGGTTAATCAACAGGCCAAGATGTATATTACACTGGTAATATTACTACAGTAATAGTGTAAGTTCTACAGGAATAAAATTAACATATTGTAAAGTGTGATAATGATCTGGTAGTTTCGACTAAATAGCGTGACGCACCTGATAATGACAGAAACTTTAACGGATGGATATATATATATATAATAATGACAGAAACTTTAACGGATGGATATATATAATAATGACAGAAACTTTAACGAATGGATATATAAATATATAATAATGATAGAAACTTTAACGGATGGATATATATAATAATGACAGAAACTTTAACGGATGGATATATATATATAATAATGACAGAAACTTTAACGGATGGATATATATAATAATGACAGAAACTTTAACGGATGGATATATATAATAATGACAGAAACTTTAACGAATGGATATATAT